CCTCCCCCCCCCCACCCTATCACCACTTGGGGATGCGAGAAAACATCCACCCAAAAGCTCTCCTAAGACGTTTTTAGACCATTTTTTTAATAAAGCAATAGCAGCTACTGTCGTTGGCGTAATTGTTGCGGGCAGTGGTCTTGCTTGTTTATTTTTAATAGTCAAAGTCAAAGCACAGGATAAGAATGATCAAGATATTTAACAAAATTTTAATTACTTGATTGGATAAGATAAAGTTCATGAACTTCATTTCACGATAAAAACTCGATTTTAATTACTAGTCACTTTGGTCTGAAGAATTTATTCAATTTATGGATATCTGAAAATTGTTAAAAGTTTTTATTATGGTGGTACGTTTGTAATAAAAAATAAAGTATCATCAACTACGGAAAACTATAAATTACAAAATATGGATTTAAAAAACAACATGGGCTTGAAAGGTGATGTTACGTTCATCGATGATTTTTATAAAAGCATCGATGTTTTGAAAACTCCAACATTGATGTGTCACCCCTGTCTTCCGCTGGTCCCCGTGGCCTTACCAGGCTCCAAAACCTTCGCGACGACGGTGCAAAGGGCGCTCTTGGCTAGTTATTCGCGCCTCTTTAGGCCAGTCTGTCAATGATGTTACATCTGAAGAATCAGCCCCAACTTTGAACAGCCAAACAGAACAAGAAGCTCGACATTGTTAGTTCAGTACTCTGAGAAGATCTGCCATGTCTTATTTTTGTATAGGTTGGCGAATCGATTTTTTTTATCAACAACTCTTTATTTTTCTTAAAATGTTTGGGGGTGCTGCCCTTTTCAATTCCGTTGTGCTTTTCGTCCTCCATGCCTATTGGCTTTTTTTCTCTCGTATTTTATTATTCCTTTTTCCCTACTGTGATAAGCAAAAGAAATGTTCTTAGTGTGTTTTAGAAGTATTAAAATCTCGAAACATTAAATTGTGACAAAACATCGAAAAGTATACTTACTTCTGGAAATTGATGAACAAAAAACGTTTGTGATCAACGTTGAAATTATATGATGTTCTTCCTCAAAGATGTATGAATTTACATCTTCCGTAACATTTCACACTCATGGTGACAGTAATTTCGTATTTCATTAATATTTTAAAATAGGTATTTTCACATGAAATTAAAATGTTTTCAGTGCTCGAACTACTAGAAAGCAGATGACCCTCAAGCCTGAAAAGGCGTGTATTTTTTTATTTTGTAAAATCGTGAATAAAATAACTAAAAAAAATTAAAAAGTTCGTGATTTAAGAAAATGCCACCAAAGAATTATCCGCCTTTCTTCTATTGGCTGATGTTGGTTTACAGTTATTCATTTTCGCTTCGGCGAAGTGACGAGCAACCGGAAGTACTTTGTTCTCCCCCCGCCCTCGGCTGGACGTTCGCTTCGGTGCAAGTACACACGTTGTAATCTCCCGCGGCGCCAGGCGTCCGCCTGCCTGCCCCCTCCCCCGGGTCACGCGACGCTCCCGCCCCCTCCACCCCCCACCCACAGCCCTTTCCACCTCCTCGCTATGACGCAGCCACTTGGGGGAGGATTTGAACCGGAGCACGCCGGAGTTTCGGCAGGAAAATTCTTTACTGCCGGACCCTGGATCTCGTTCCTAATTATAGTAAATTACTTCTGAGATATGTACTCTGAATACACGTTGTAGGTGCTTGATACCGAAATATCGATTGATGGCAAAACGTCTGCCCACTTGTAAATCTGTTCGTCTCTTTTCATTCGTCTGCCTGTTCGTTCGTCTGCCTGTTCGTTCGTTAGTCCGTTCGTTCGTTCGTCTGTCCATGTGTTCGTTTGTCTGTGTGTGTCTGTTCGTTCGTCTATCTGTGTGTGTTCGTCCGACCGACCGTCCGTCCGTCCGTCCGTCCGTCCGTCCGACAAACGCTGAAGGTTATAGTCCAGTGTAAGTTGTATGGGTGTAATCACGGAGAAGACATTTGCTCCTCCCTCCCCACCCTAAACCTTTGAACTTCAATTAACCTTCATTGAAAGCTCCATTCAGTGTACGTTATACTTTAAAAAAATTGTCAGAACATTTTTAAATCGAATATTTGTGCACGTCCTGTCTGTCTGTCTCTCTTCTTTGTTTCTCTTCGATACTTCATTTCTGTTGTTTTTCCATGTACCCCTTGTAACGTGGATCGCCCATTCACCACTTCGCTTAGGGTAAAACTTGATTAAGATCAGAAGTGATAGGAGAATTACGCAATAAAGATGCGACATCGATAACAAAACATCAATATCAATGATACGTCGTCTAAAAAGTCGTTGTTTTTCAACATCGATGTTTTCAAGCTGGTGTAGCTACCTCTAACATTACATTTGTGTGTAACAAAATTAAATTTGACAGTGTTCGTGTTTATAAATTCTCCGAATAAGGGCCTGAGAAGAAGGGGCAGATCCTACACCCACAACGTATTTGTTGATCATATTTCAATGTGCGATATGAATATAACGATAGACAAAATGCAAGGGCATGGAGATCATCTCGGGCGAGAGAGTTTGGACAATGAAAATAGTACAATGCAACCCGCATTCTTTTGCTTCCAACACATGAACTGACAATGTTACCAGCAGGACATTTCATATTTACCTATTACAGTATTGTGATCAAGGGAACTTTTCATTCAGAGACAAAACATCGGGAAAGAAAAAAGTCCTACTCAAAAAAATTGATGTTAAAAAACATCGGTATTTAAATATTTAAATCATCGATGTTTTGAAAACATCAACATCGATTTCGCATCCCCACTACGCAATGAATTCTACTTATTGAGGTATACTACGGTGCTGACATCCACAACAAAACATCGAAGTTTCAAAACATCTTTCCAAAACTAACATGGATTACTTAAAAATAGTTTAAGAGGCTTCTAACATTTATGTACTTGCGTCGCAAAATGTAATTGGACAGTGACCGTGATTATTCATACGTAATTTTATCGCCCGAGGTCATTACAACCAGTTAATGCCTGTGGTACGTAATTTTATATTTTACCTAATTTTAATTATTCAGATTTACTTATTTACTAATTCATTAGATGTTAACTTGACTCGGCTTGTCTTTTCTTATTTCCCTCCCATAATCCCCTCCGTACGAGAACATGTATCATTATTTAAATATTTTCATATGTCCGTCGTAGCCACGGTCCTCTCGATCCAGACAAGTTACGCTTCGTATATCGAGCTCGATATCGAAGGCAAAACAAGCTATAAGGCATCAGTAAAAACTAAAACATTTTGTTTTGAAACAACGACGTCGACTCCAAGTGTAAACAAGATACTTGTTCAGAAAAGGAGGATTAGTATATGAATAAAAAAATCTTTAAGATACTATTAGCAGAAAATCCGTGAAAACTATGAAAGGCTATTTTTTTTCTTCAATTATATTTGAAGAAAAAAGTTTTTGTCAATAATTAAAATTTAAAAAAGAAAATTAATTATTCCTTGCTAGATTCCTTCATTTTAAGCAAATAAAAGATCTTTTGTATCTATTTCGTTTAATGATAACTTTTTAAAATTATTTATTAATTTAAAACTGTATAAATTGTTTTTATTTAATTATTGCATTAATTAGATTTTTGTTTTTAGTAAACTTACGGACGTGAATTTTGTTGTACGAGTATGTTACGAGTGATTCAGAATTGCTTAAACTTACAGCTCTCAATATTTTTTCTGTACATTTGACTCCCATGGTCATGTAAAAAGTGTGATGTCTTGATAATATATGCTGATTTACTTTGCTGCATTGCTTTTTCCGAAAATGTGTTTGGTTTACTTTTTGACGATTATGAAATTGTTATTGTAATTTTTCGTAAAACTATGTAGGCGTTATTAATAAAATTTTTAATTTACAAGGCAATGAAGTAAACATTCATGAAGATGTATGTTCTCAATATAAAAACAAGATGGTTTTATTATCTCACTTGCATGCGTATATTAAGAAAAATGTCAATTCTCACTTAGGGTCGACAGTTCTCTCTCGGAATCCACCTCCAACCGCTCTTCAACGAAGCTCAGATTACTCTGCGTATATCTAATGTTTTCTGGACCGAGTACATACATACATCTGTCACGTGTGGCGTTGTTTTGCATTTCGTGTCCGTGCCCAGACGCGGCGCGGCGGCTGTGGTGGTAGGGCTGTGTGTCACCGTTCCATTGGCTGCCCTGTGTCCACCCCCCTCTCCGCTTCGCCAGCGTTGTGAATGAAGCAATTGCCGTCCCATGCTGGATCTTCACCCCCCTCCCCTTCCACTCCTCTGGCCCGATATAAGCGCACTGTCAACTCCGGGCAGCAGCCACTAGTACGGAAGACTCTCTACACCGTCGAGCTAGTGTCTTCACGTTTCGACGTCTACTTTTTTCCATTTGTTTGTCTCACGCACAGTGAGTGTAGGACATATGTTCCCGCTAGTGCACGGCAAAGCAAACTGTTGCATTCTGACTGCGCGTCAGTTGGAATCGCTGCCGCCTCTACCAAAGAAAAGGAGCAAGCCCGGTCGAGCGATGGGCCAGTTCGCGCAGAAGTTCACCTCGTACATCAGACGCACCGCCCAGAAGCTGGCGGGTTTCACGTCAAACTTGTTTTCGCGTAAGACCACTTTTATTAGAAGAACCAACCATTGTTCACCTCTAATTGCCTCTCTTGAAAATGGTGTTAGATGTGCTGTCGTGGCAGATGGTACATCTCCAATAGTTCTTTATTTCGATTCTTGCGATTCTTGTTGTTGCTCATGAAGTTCTCACTGGGGCAACAATTTCTTTGGATAGTTCAGTCGTTTTCGATGTTGTTCAGGAATGGTAGGGTTTTGTTTGGAAGAAGCATTAGCCTTGGGATAATTCTCTGCAATGCATCGATGTCATCTTCAAATTATTACAGGTATAAAATGTACTATATTTTTTCAGATTAATGATATTGATTTCAGATCATGAGTTAGTCCATAATATTCTTTGTTGTTTTTATTTTGTTTTTACTTTTTGTCTTAAGGTAAAAGTTTAACTTTTATGTTGTTAATTGTTTTTGACTTAGTTTAGTCAGTGTTTTTTTCTTGCTATGTGGTGGGAATTTAGACTTTTTAACATCGCGTTGCGACTTTTTCCCCTACCAGTGTTATTTATTTCGTTATGGAATAATGCCATAAGCAAGTAGTATTTTGGTTCTTGCTGGGTTCTTGACATTTTCAAGCATGTTTGGGTGCAATTTCTTGATCAGGATATTTTTTTCCATTGTTTTTTATTGAAAACGAAAGTTTTTGTTTTTTTCATGTACTAAAGTGTTCAGTTGAGTGACGTATTTGATTTTGTATGAAAATAGTAATTTGTGAGTATAAATTGTCAGGTTTCTCTGAAAATTGTCAACATAGATAATACTGTGTTATTTGTTTGTATAAATTGCTTAGGGTTTCTGCTGGAAAGCGGACCCAGTAATTTTTAAATGAAGTTTGACTAAATATACTTTAATATTTTGAACGTCTAAACATATTTTAATATTTTCTTTCATTACAAAAGTGTCAGTCGAGCAGAAAAATATGTACCACTGTTTCGTTCGTTGTCATTAACATTGAATGCGTACCAATCGATTGTTATCGATACGAACTTGATGTCGGACAAAGAGTATACTGGCGTGTTTTTTCTAATGGAAAAAAAAATTCAAAATTCGAGATTTTACACATTTTAATCTTCAAGGGCCTATAAACTCTACTAATCGAATAATAGGACTGACATGTGTTAACGAACAGACGGCTGACAGTTCGGCATTTTTCGTTAGTTCTCGAATTCGCCGTTCGCGCGCCAGTGGAACGCTCTCTTCGGGAACCACAGCAATGTTGATTGTACAGAGGACTGGGGTATTCCGAAGTAAACACGCATCGTTAGTTCCAAAATCGACGTGGTCAATTATTTTTCTGGTCGACTAATAATCGTGTATTATCATTATTACTATTCTTATTATCAACATCATTATTATTACCATTTCTAGGCTTGGCTTTTTGCGCCGTTGCATGAAGTAAATTTTCTTTGTCGTTGATGCACTTTGTGTCCAATAAATGCGGCGTCTGTTGTCATAAGTTCCCTATAGGTCTGACAGCTATTTCCAATAAATCGGGGGTTTCCAGGCTTTAACTTTTTACTCTTGTGTAATAAATTTAGTTTGCTAGGTCTTTCGGGACCAAATAGTGTATTATATTTTACATTAACAATGTTGTTTTTACAATAGTATGGTTGTATGATTATGGATATAAAAACATTCTGTTAATTGGCATCCACAATGGTTACGGGAAGGATTGAGATATTCCATTATTGTAGTGTGTGTGCTTGCAGCGCCGCCCCGCCTGCAGGCGCTGCGCAACCGCGACGCCGGCGGCTCGGGCTCCGCCATCCGCGCGTACGCGCTGCACCTGGCGGCCGACGCCAGCACCACGTTCGCGCAGAACATCGACAACTTCATCGCGTGCACGCGCGAGTCGCGCGAGACCAACCCGCAGGTGGTGATGCGCAACATGCGCCAGTTCATGTCCGGCATGAAGAACTACCTCGTCAAGCACGGCGAGCGCGAGTTCGAGAAGGAGGTGGAGAAGGAGCGCATCAAGGTGAGCTTCGGGGGCTGTTGCAGGGGTCGAGACTTTATTAAGGGAGTTCCAGTTGCAGGGATTGTTTAAAGAAGTTCGAGATACGGGAGGTAATTAAGGGAGTTCGAGTTACGGGTGGTAATTAAGGGAGTTCGAGTTACAAGGTTAGTTAAGGAAGTTCGAGTTACGGGAGTTAACGGAGCGAGTTACAAAAGTTAGTTAAGGGAGTTCGAGTAACAAAAATTAGAGTTCGAGATACGGGGTTAGTTAAGGAAGTTGGAGTTACGGGTTAGTTAAGGAAGTTCGAGTTATGGGGGTTAGTTAAAGAAGTTCGAGTTATGGGGGTTAGTTAACGAAGTTCTAGTTACGGGGGTTTAAGGGAGTGCGAGTTACGGAAGTTGTTTAAGGGACTTCGCGTTACGGGGGTTGTTTAAGGGAGTTCGAGTTACGGAGGGTAGTTAAGGGAGTGTGAGGCACGGGGGTTAGTGAAGGGAGCGTGAGGTGGTGGCGCAAGCGGAGGGCGTTGTGTAACGGGCGCGTGACGGTGCGCAGCTGAAGGCGAACGAGTTCCTGAACCTGGACGCCATCCTGGAGGCGGTGATGCACAAGCTGGTGGTGCGGCCGCTCAAGGAGCACCTGTACCGCCTGTTCGTGGAGGAGTACTCGCGCAGCGGCGCCATCCAGCTGCTGGCCGACAACATCAGCTACGCGCGCACGCGGGCGCCGCACGAGCTGGGCCTGCGCGCGCGCCTGGCGCTGCCGGCGCCCGCCGCGCTCGCCGCCGTCTGCGCGCCGCTGCGTCGCCTGCAGGAGGTGGACTCGCCGCTGGAGAAGCTGGAGTGCCTGCTCGCCTGCATCGCAGCCATCTTCAGCGCGGTCAGCTCACTTTCTTACTTGCCCACTACTCTGCTTTAGCGCCCAGCAAACGTAAAATAGAGCAGGTTTGCTTTCCTTGTTTTGCACTTTGATTGACCTCGGGAGCCAAGCCGCGCGCCAGCAACTGCAGTGCAAACCCTGGCCGCGTTCTAGAAGTTGGGATGGCCGATGACAATGCGCGATTCGATCCGCAGCGCGTAAATTGAAAGAGATATTGCGAGAATGACGGACGATTACGTCTAGTTCGACGAATTATATTGAATCATAATCGTTTACAACATCGTATGATGAAGGTTAAGCCCTTTGCGTTCTTTTTAACAACACTCAAAACCATGATTGTCCGTAAAATATCGTAAAAGGGATTTGCTCATTGGCATGTATTATTTAGCTTTATAACGAGGGAAACTGGTTGCAAATATATGTCCTATCAAACATAACCCTTCCTGGAATTGCGTATACTTCATTTTTATATCAATCTCGATGTGAGAGACAGCTCTCAGTTTCCTTCGTTTTATAATCATTTGGAGATTGTGACATTTCTTGTGAAAATCAATTATTAAATTGTAAATATTTGTTGGTTAAAATTACACAATACATTTTCAAAAAAGGCCACTGCTGTAAAATATTGACTATGAGTTAGAATGAGAATAAAGTAAAAGAAAAAGTAAAAATGTGTAGATACATGGCAGTATACAGAAAACTTATACAAGGAAATACTACCCTTGTAGCTGGCAATGCGGTAAATTATCCATTTGAATAAGTATGCAAATAATTTGATTGCGCGGATCATTGCATTAGACGCCCGGGCATTCCACGTACGCGCCGCGTCGTTCAACGCCAGTCTTCTCCCCTCTCCGCAAAAAATACATGAAAACCCGAGGACATACATACACACACGGATCCTAAGATCTCATTCACAACGCAAACGTAAACATAATTCAACCGCAAAACCTAGAAATGAGTTAATAAGTGAGACCATTCACAAGGCGTTGGCGTAACCATAGACGGAAGTCCGCAAACCTAGATCAGATTGTTTTTAGGTACATTGTCATTTCATTACTGTTATGTACTAGTTTGCGAACGGCTTTGAAGTGAGAAGTCAAAAATAGTAGGAATTTTGGCAACTTTTGTTGTAACTATAACTCGGATAAAATTATAATTACGTTTACGAATTACTTGTGACTTTAGTGCATGATAATCTTTGTTTATAAAACAAAGGACTAGCAGAATATGTAGGGAGGGCTGTGAGGTGACGTGGCGTGGGCGCGCGTGCCGGCAGGTGAAGCAGGCCAACCGCGGCCGGCACCTGACGCTGGGCGCCGACGACTTCCTGCCGCTGTTCGTGTGGGTGCTGGTGCGCTCGGGCATGGTGGCGGCCGAGGTGGAGGCCGAGTACATGTGGGGGCTGCTGCACCCGTCGCTGCTGTCGGGCGAGGGCGGTTACTACCTCACCACGCTCTCCAGCGCCGTGCACGTGCTCAAGAACTTCCGCGCCTGCCATGAGCAGCAGGAGCGCGCGCTCGCCCTCGGCCACGCCGCCGGCGCCCTCGACGTAAGTGCGCTGCTCGGCAAGTACCCGCCGCTCGACCGCCCCGCCTTCCCCGCCTACCCCAGCGACTTCCTCTGCAAGTATTAGCAACGGGGCCAACACTTTTCGTGAACCAAAACCTCGCTGCGAGCGCCCATGACAACATTCCAAACACATCGTAGAAACTATTTTCTGTTCAAGTCGAGAACTTCTATCCCTTATTTCCCCCAACAAAATCTAAAGAAATGACCGAAGCAGGTAAAGATCTCTCACAGGAGATACCTCGAACTCCTGAAAAAGTTAGAACGCAAATTATTGAGAACATTGCGAAGGCATGACTGATTCTCCAGAGATTGGCATTGGTTTATGCATCTAGTGGCCAATTTCGCAACTAATACCCCCCACTCTACCCGCAGTTCTTCAATTCATCGTTCAAGAAAAGTTATCGAGTTTCGTGTCTCTTTTGAGCGTCGCGCATGCGCCAAAGATGGATTTTGCTGTCGGTTGTTGCAACGCTTAGCTCTGGGGGGGGGGATGTTCTAGCGCATCGCAGCCAATGAGCTTCAGAAGCCACTTTGCATCACAATGTTAGTGGGGATTTTAAATGCAGCCAGATACGAACATTATCACCTGGCTACAAGACATTGAAACAGTTTGATGAAGCATTTCCTGTAAATATTCCATCTACTACACCTTCATAATGTTATTTTTCGTCACGGTAAAATTTTGGTAAAATTGTCACACTATACCACTTTCAAAATGTTTCTTAACACTTCTCACTCTCCATTCAACATTGTGGCCTGCGACTGATCTGGCTCTTCAAACAAGTATCCATGCTGTGATCACATGGTTTGTGACACAACTGCTGCAGCACAGAACGAGCAAAAATCATTGCACTTGAGGAACTCGTTCATATCTTTTCACCATGCATAGCCATGAACTCCATAGCTTTGAACTCCCTGTTCTGTGAGCAATTTATATTGGATGCTAATCGATCACACAGTTATGCTATATGGAATTTGTTCTCAACTTTTGTGGTAATGTGGTTCCATGTGGTCTATAATCACATGATGGAATATCCTGTTGGTGGCTTTAATCTGGTTATATAATTATTATTTAATAACAAAATAATTTTATAAAAATATAGTTATGTATGCAGACAAGAAGTTGATGGGCACCTCTCATCAAAAAAATGCAAATCAAGAGGATGTGTCTTTGTGGGAATTTAGGGCATGCTCACTAGCTACAGTTTAGAACTTCTTTCATTGGCGACAAAATATTCAAAAACTCTTTTTAGACTTAATACGCCATTAGTCACATGATTGGTTTATTCTATGCACTGCAAAGATTATTATCTTTCAAAGAATGCATTGTTGTAAATAGCTGTGATCTCGTTTTCCTTGTGATTTTTATTCATCTTTCTGAGACAAAATTGAATTTACTTTGGTAAATAAAAAAAATCATTATATCGTTTGCAGGAGTAATTTGAGTTTGAGACATTTGCATCTTTAATATATATTTAATGAATATTAAGTATAGAATAATTGTAATAGCAGGATACTGTTTTTAATTTTGTGCTGTCATTAATCAATTTTAATAATTTAGAACTTCTAATACTAAAATTATTTACCAACCAACATTATGACCAACATTATTTTTTCTTGCATACTAATTGTATATACAGACATAACTAAAATACACTAAGAAATGGCAAAGAAAGTTGACAGTTATTTGTTTCACTTCTAAAGATTAATGCAAATTAATTCATCTCAAACCAGTTTATATTTTTCAATTATAAATTTCTTGACCTCAGTGAATAAGCTGATATGTCAAAAAAACTAAATTTAAAAGGATATCAAAAAACAAGTTTAAAGTAATGCAATAAGTCAGGGATTGAAGATATTAAAAAAAAAACCTCTACACCAATAGTTTCCTGTGAATATCACATCTGTTTGATTATCATAAATCCCTGATTTCAGTTTAAAGTTGTTTTTTGCTCTCCTGTAAAATTAAGTGTTTATGACGACTTAGCAGCTTATTCACTAGAATCAAAAAATTAAATTAAGAATTAATTTTTCATAATTTCGACTGGAAATGCACAGATTTCAAAATTCATCAGTATTATCTGTTATTTATAAACCCTGAGTTAAAACATTCTGATAAATAATGAAGGAAAACTCTCTGATATTAAAAGAAAGATGTAATAAAGATTTATTCATGTTTTGTAAATACTTTGTACATATAAAAAATTAGTATAAGACATTTGTAAATATTTTATAAAATAAATTTTTTGTTACTGTTGTTTCATATAATCAATTCATTGTTACACTTTAAATAGTCTCTTCAAATGCAAAGTGGCATTTGTGCCTTAAACAACATTAAAGTGTCAATAGGTTGTTAACGTGTAAATACATTTTGACTATTTACTTTATGTTGTAAATAAAGAAACAAGAAAGCCTGATAAAAAATGCAGTATAGTAGAATCCTCTTAATTATATTTATATCCTCGTAATTATATATAGTACTATTTAATACACACTTTGTTGTTGTTTTTTCAAATTGTTGTATGCAATGACTTCTAAAACTTACGAGCAAATAATTCATTGAAAATTATGTAAAATGAGGAAAGAAATGTAACCAAACATAACAACTTTGATCATTAATAGTATTTTGAAATTACAATTGAAGATATATTAATACAATCATATTAAACAACTAATAGTTGTAATATATCCTACAGATTTTTTTATAGTTCTTAATGACACTAGTAGATGTAGACCAAATAATTGATGCATTTGAAGTTTGTAAACTGAAGCATTTGCCATGTTTTATAACAAACCAAGTCCACTATTTGTAGTATTGGTCAGCTGTGTTGTTCCATACATTACATAATACCTTCTTTTTATAAGAAAAAATAACTTAAATAAGAAAAAACATTTATTGAAGTGCGAGTATTCATTCACTATCTCTAGCCACAAAGCATTTACTGTGATTGTTCATAATGATGGTGACATATGAAATCTTTAACAGATTTAAGCTTTGTCTGTTAAAAGTGTCTTTTTATTCCTCTATTTGATTGCATTAAGCTCATATAAGAAAACAGTATTAGGTAAATTAATTTTCCTACTTGAGTAAATGGATCTCCATCAAAATCATGAAATGCACAAAATAATTATTATGATGTAAATGAATGGTAATGAAAAAACAGCTCTACTTGTAAACGTTATTAGTAATGATCTTCATGTGGAGTATGTATGGCTCCTTTTTCAAATAATAAAGTTTGAATTTCTGACAAGGAAGGGAGGATTCCCTAATACAATGATCATATAAAGAAAAAAAATTTAAAAAAAAAACAAAACAAACTTTTAATGATTTTCTGTAGGCACATTTTGTAGTCGCTAGCTTTCTGTCTCTTGAGGCTAAACATAGTCAAAATTTTACAATTATGGAATGTCTGTCATTTAGAAGCTAAAATTAATTAATTAGATCGCTGGTGAGGTAGATACCTTTTTATTATGATAAATAAATAAAGATGTCTGGTATCAATACTTTTTCAAGTAATAAAGTTCTGCAGAACTTTGTTTTTGGCCCAGAAGCTGCAAGCTCTGAGGATGATCACTATGCGATCGAAAATATCATAAGCTGAATAAAAGTATTGATACCAGACAACATCTTTATTTATTTATTTATTTATTTATTTATTTATTTATCATAGCTAAAATTAAATAAAGTCACCTTGAGAGCGTAGGCTTCCGCGGCTGGAGTCAGTATTTACTAGGCTGTCCGGTTGACGCCACGTCCATGGACCCACCTTTGCCATGGATGCCGCGTCACCCGGACAGGCTAGTAAAAACACTGCTTATTTTTCTTGTTAAACAAGTTTCCTCAGAATTAGGATTTTTTTTTTCAATAGTATTGTCATTTACACAACGAACAGTATAATTATACGAAGGCTGAGAAAAATAGTGCAGAGCGAAAAACTGTTCAATAGTTTTTCCATTACCCAATGTAATTATAAAATTAGAATTGTTTTTAACAGTTAAAAGATTGGCTATAAACAAATCTTTAATGCAAAATATTTTTTTATTGCACAAGGTATCCGTCATTTTTTATACTTTATAAAGTTATATTTGTTTTAAAAGAGTAGTAAGTTTCTGTTATTTTAACTTCATTTTTTTGTGAAAAGAAATTTTTATGATATTGTAAAATGCCTCAGAGCTTGCAACTTTTCAAATTAAAAACTGCATGGCTTTCTTCATTTGAGGGGTGTAGTTTCAAAACATGACTTTTCCACCTTTGGTAAAAAATGAGATATTGGTTTCAATAGGGGTCGTCACAGTTTTGTGTTGTCTCTAAAATGATTTGTAACAAAATGCGTTATGCGTTCAGATGTGTTAATATCAGCACACTATCTTCCCATAATATTCATTTCGTTGCAAAGTACGATCTTTCCAATCCAGCAATCAGAGATCCTTTTGTCACTATATTTTGGCACTGTATTGTATCAAAATGAAAATTTATCTTTCTATAGGAATTAACTGGCCTAAGCATTGACCAAGCTGATATCAGAATGAGTCAGCAGCGAGGGTCAGCAGTTAGGAGTTGCTTATCTTCATATTTGATGAAAAATGCCACATGAAATAAGGAAATCAAAAGGAAACAATACTCTTCTAAAAATATTTAATAAAAACAAGTTTGTTTTCATGGAAAAATGTTTTTACCAGAAATAGCAAAAAAATATTGAAATTAAATTTCAAAATGAGACTTTTTATAATTTTTAGTTCAATTTTCTTCATAATGACAAGATATTCTTGAATGATTATTGTATAATAGTTTTTATTTTCACTAGCCAAGGGGGTTAATCCCAAACACTTAGCAGCATAATGTTTTAAACAAATGATATGACATTTTCTTGTTGTTCTCAAAACAGACTAGAATGGCAATGTCTCATTTTGAAACTAGACCCCTCATTTTATATCAGGTAAACGTAACAAGCAGCTTAAACATTTTCTTGCTTTTATGGTTAAATTACAAAGTGAAATTATGAAACAAAAATTGTTTTTATGTTAGTGTGGAGTTTTTTGAATAACTTATTGTGCTACAATAACATAATTAATCATTATACCTCGACATTTAGATTTAGAAACAAAATAAATTTGGTAATTAAATTTTGTGAAGTAATCAGAAGAGGGTTGGCTTCATTTTTATTGATTAAGAAAACATTTTTGGAAATTGCGGTTAAGTAATGGATGAATACAAAATCACAGAAAAATTGACTCATCACATGGCATTGTTTTTTCTTCTCTTGATAATGTCAATTTAACTTGCATGACATGAATATATATATTTTTGATGATTTTGATAATTTAAAAACTTGTTTAGCTCCTAGGAATAAAAATCCCAACTCTCGTATAATGTACAGCTTCAAAAAAGTGTCAAAAAGGTTGTAATTTGTGGTAACATTTGATCTCTAAAAATTTAATCTTATGAAAATGAATTTGGTTGTGTATCTTGTGAGGTAGTGCCTTTCAAAGCGTTTCTAATAATTCTTATCAGTGGTAAATAAAAAGTAATAAAATGACGTGAATAGCATAAATTTGGAGTTAACTACTTTAAAGTCTGTAACTGAGCCCCAAATTATGATGTGTTACTGCAAAATTTTTGTTAAGCAAGTGAAGGTTTAGAGTAGTTATCTCTAAATTTATAAATAAATGCAAAAATAATAAAGTTTTTATTGTCTTCTGATTTTAGTGGCGGGTTGGTTCACTCTCAGAGCTTCAATCTGTCTTGAAGATTGTCGTTCCTGATGAACTACATGGCTCAATCATCACCAAAACTCTCCCAGTGAGACCCAATATGACAACACGAGACGTCTGCAAAATAATTGCTCACAAAGTTCGAATCACTAACCCTCAAGATTATGGTCTATTCAAACTTGTGGATGGAGAAGGTAAGAATATATGTTTTGTATTTTTTGTAACTCATTACACTGGTTGTAAAACGTATACATACAAAGGTTTGTTACAAAATCTCTCATTTTTTGAACAGAAGAGCTTCATCAACCTTAGGTATAAAAAAAGACTTGTGTATCAGACACCCCATTGGCTTAAGAGCTCACAGTTTAAATTTTTATGTTATTGGTTTTTGATAAACTAAGAACATGATATAATTAATAATGTACATGTGCATTCATTTAAATGACATACTGATTCAATTGATGTCACTGTGTGTGAAAATATTGACTTTACTGCTTCAGTATTTATATTTAAGGACAAAACCTAATGTATTTCAGATAAAGCTGGACATACCTTCAAAACATAATAATGTTTAACTTGTAACTATATTGTACGAAGAATTAAAATACTACATATATTTCCAAAATATATTTTAAATGTTCAGTTTTTGAGTTAATAGTTCTGCATTTTTTTTATCCACAGCCAAAGAGGATGTAAAAACTTTAATTATAACCAATGCTTGTGGTAAATTGCATCATATTTTGGTCAAAACACATATTATAAATCAAAATCAAATCAAATATTTACTTATATTTTTATTCTTAATTCTTCCTTGCGGGTAGCTTGGGTATGACCTGGGGCATGTGGGGAGTAAATATTATATATATATATATATATATATAATTATATTATATTATATATATATATATATATATATCTATATATTATCCCTGCTTTATATATAATGTAAGTAATAATTTGATTTAAGTGTGCCTCACAAGGAATCAACTCAAGGAGGTACTTATTAAAAGATACAGCAGTGCATTGAGTACTTGATTATTCTTTTTCAGAAACTCTTCTTGGTGACGGAGAATGCCCTCAGGATGTACGCGGGGGGGTGTCTCAACTGGGCAAGCATTGCATATTCGCATACAAGAGGATTGATGCAAAGATAGCCTGGCCGCGAACAGCATCTCCACAATAATTAACATCCTGATGAAAGAACTTACAAAGGATAATGTTGCGAAGTGTGTCATGGTTTTATAGTGTAACAAGAATACTTTTCAATATTACTTAATGTTTCTAACACCTTGGACAATTACTTAAAAAGCAATGAGGAACCAAGTTGAAATGTTGTTTTCCCTAGTGTGTCCATTTCTTGCCTTCTAGCTACAATTGAACAGAATTATGAGACTGTAAAGAAACGCAAAGAAATCACTCTTTAAGAGATGTCTTGCCTGTAGTTTTAGTGTAAATGACCTCCGTTTGATTGAAGTTAGGATGGTAGGGGTCATTAAAGAATGGCTGTGCGTGTTAATTTTCTGGCGGATGCAGTTGAGAGAGAATGGGCAAATGAAAAAGTGTTGCATTAATTGAAAGAATCATTGTGCTAAAACAACGATAGTGTATGGTGTTTGGAAAAATGTAAATTGGTCAACGTGACACAGTATTAAGCAGCAATAAGGCAGCTGTGTAGAAGTGTACGTGGAATATTTGTATCTAATTGTCTAAAGTGAAGCATGGATGCACTTTTCATTTTGTATAGAGTGTAGTGTTTTGTTTTGTTTAAACTGTGATTGGATTTTTTATTTGTCCATACTTTTATATTAATGTGTAGGAAGTGATTTTCTGGGACATCTGAGATTCCAGATTCCCTTATTTTTAATTTTGCAGTACAAGCTGCTATCTGAGTTGTTAAAGTCTAGGACTATAATATTATTTTCTTGTAGTTTTGTTTTGTTTAAAAAAGGTGCAAAACTGCAACATATTCTGTTGATTTGTTATTGATTGATTACTTCCTGCTTTAAATAATTACTTCCTGGTAATTGCTATTAATATGAAATGCTGTTAATCACCTTCCTTCATGAATAAGACGACTTTACAAACTAATGTTTTGTATATTTGTACAAAAACTGTATTTATATACTGTACTTCATTATACACAAACCTGAGAAGTTTGAAATAAGCTTTAAGATTATTTTTATCTTAATCTCATTCCTTTTGCGGGTAGTTGGGGTAATGAATGGGGATGTGGGGAGTAAGATATTCAGATGTTACTTCCTTTGTGTTAAATTGGATAGGCTTGTCAAGCCAGAAGTTAGCATGGTTAGTCACTGATATTATATGTTACAGTAAAACTCCATTTGTGTGTTTTGCACTGATACATTTTTCACATTTATGCATTATTGATTATAAGTTCCTGCTAAATTTCTATTTCTTCCCATCTTAAATTTTTTCTGATATTTTCATCGTTTAATGTTTATTCATTTTTCATGCTTATTGGTGCACAATAGAAGTCCTAACTATATAACGACCAGTAAGTGAGATCATTCTAGAGAAGCTCTAGGGATCTGTTTTTGGATAAAAGTTAAAAATGTTTTGCTGGTATGCGGGGCTTATCATCATGGCATCTGATAGGAACTGAGGAGACTTTAGACAAAACATCAGGGAGTGAGGATAGTGATGCTAGTGTCTCTAAGGCTTTGCATAATGGTTGCCAACATTGCAGAGAAAACATTTGGCCTACTTGTATGAAGTATGGAGGAATCAAGTAATGTGGGTGAGAATCGAGTAGTGTGGGCAAAAGTTATATCAAAGTATTAATCTCAAAATATTGAGATTTTATTTTACACGTAGATTTTCCATATCTTAAAATGAGCGATTTTCTCACTTGCAAGTTTTTCCGTTCATTCTTCTGAAAAACATATAAATGAAGTTTTACTGTACTTGTATTTTTGTGCCACATCAAGCAGTTGCCATGATGTGAAATCTAGTTCCCTCTGTCAGATCTTACTTACTATCCAAGGGGCCTTAAAATTCAGTATTTAAAATAAACGTGTCTTTTACCCCAGAATAAGAACTAAGTAGTAGAAAAATGTAGTTTTAAACAATTTACATGTTGTTGCTCTCCCCACATTTGAAATTTGTTGTTACTGCATATGCACAGGGTTTATTTGCTGGAATCACATGCGAAAACAAGGAGAGAAAGAAATACGCATATTGAAAAATGTTCAGAGAAATTGGAAAGAATGAGTTTTTAATCATTTTCAGGCAAAATTGATCCCATTTTCTTGTGACAAAAATAATAATAAATAATAATAATAATAGTAATAATTTAATTCTGAATGGATGTTAAATGTGTGATAGATGAATTTGGATGTATTAAAAAAAACAAAAAACTAGCTAATATAATAACAAATGAGATTTGATTGGTGTTCTTTAAGCTGCATCTGGTAGGAAAACATGCATTTGAGAGACTAAAGAAAATACATCTTCAATTATTTTAAAATAAATGCATAATCTTTATAAAACATCAAAAGAAAATGGTGATGCCTCCATGTGGAATGTAATTTATTGAATTAAAAAGAAAAATTGTTTAACCCTGACCAGTACCTGCTACTCAGTAAAAATTTCAATTTTGAAAGTAAAGAGTTAAAATCTCTTACTAGTTATGAAGAAGAAAGGCACTCATCTTTGGAAAATGATTATCATGAGAATTAAATGAAACATTTAGTTTTATTCCTGTGCATTTGCAGCTCAAATTAATGAAGCTTATACCTTTATCTTTCTACCCACTAATACGCTAGTCATAATGCACCTTTCGCGCACTCCTTAACATGAAAGGATTAACTGCAGCTCTACTTTTCAAGAAGTACTCAATAAAATATTTGAGCGTTTCTTTCATAGTTGTATTGAATATTGAAAATATATGTCATTTTAAGACCTTTTTTTGTACTCCTCGTACAACTAGATTTGGTTTTTATTTTCACATCACCACATCACATATAGCTTACAAATTATAATCTTATATATTGAATGACTTTGTCTTGTACGTCTTTTTGTCATTTGTAATAAAAACTTTTCTAGATGACAGAAAAATGTTGATGTGTTCTTGTAAAGCATGAAGCAACCTTTTTATTTATCTTCCAGAAAAAATACTACAGTCTTCGGATTTCATATTGAGCAAGTTTTACTGTTCTTCTAATACTAATACTACTACTGTTCTTCACATACATACACATCAGTATAATCTGTGCCGACCCTAGGCATGGACAGACTTGAGTATAACAGTCTGATAAACTGACCGTTACACCATCAAAGCCACAAATATAATCTTAACACTACCATTAGCTGGAACACCAAAGAAAAAATGAAGAAAACAGGGGAAGAATAGGTACTCGTTGTGATAGGAGAAACTTCTTCTACACGGATTAAGGAGATAGGGTACTGTGTTAAATTTGCTACTATTGTATCTTTTATAGAAAATTGTAAACTAGAAAATTTTGATATTTCTCACACTTAAAGGTACATTGTTATTATTTTGATACTTTGACTTGATTAAATAATAATTAGTATTTTTTTTCAATTATAACTTTTGCCTTTATTTTTTCCAACATTTTTTAGACATTTTTTATTTTATTTTTGAAGAATGTTTTTATAAAAATGTCAATTTATTGCAAATACTATCAAAAATATAACCTATAAATTTTAATAAATTGTGAATAATTTTTGAGAAAAGGTACAGTAATTATGAAATAAGTACAAACGGCATATGTGATTTGAAAAGGCTTTACTTACCACTGTTCTACTAGAACATTTCTCCTCCATTTTCTGAATCGTTTCCTTCATGGCAAAAGACCAATGCTATGAATGTATGAACAAGACTTTGTAACTCATTAACAATCCAACATGCATACCTAATTATGCAAAATAGCCATAATTATTGTATGCAGTGACAAAAAAGGGGGCATTGCTCAAGCTCACCAGGAAGTTAAAAAGAGCAAGGTGTTTACTATTTATTTAACCAAAAAACCAAAATTCGATAATTTGACCAATTTCATGGTTCCTTCCCCCCTTAACCCACGTCGGTATCCACCAAGAACGCTATAAGGGAAGAGTCTCATAACGGGCAAAAAAAGTGAAACGGTCACAATGGTGGCATAGTAAACTGTAGGAGAAAGGAACTAATCTTTGAGGTGGGTGATGTGAGCTCTCATTTCTATAATCCCTCCCTTTTATAATTTACTGTAAAAGTTTATAAATTGAAATTGGAGATTAAAGGGACAAAGGACATAAAATGAAAACAATTTTTTAACAGAATTTAAACCCTAATTAGAAGTTGATTAACACCATTACATAGATACAACAAACTCTGATGAAAAATATTACTAATAATTAATTTGTGGAAAAAACAATATCATTTGGCCTCTACTTCTACAGGTAAAGTTTTCTCTCGATCAACAAATTTCTACTTACATGACATTGGTTTTTCAAAACTCTTGGCTAGGTAACCAGCAACATATTAACATGAATCTTCCTTTATAAAACTATCAATAAAATTCACATTCGGGGACACTTTAACTCATTTGGTTTACTAAAATTTAATCTGTTTACAACTGGCTTTTGTTGGTGAGAAGCATTCCCTTTATCACAAACAAGCACATTTTCACATCTGAACTGAGGATTTAAAACATCATCACTATCAGCTTGACAATTACTCCTTCCACTGCATGGAATCATGTGTTGAGATAAAACAGTCCTAAATGTATAATTAAAATTATGGCATGAAGCTTTTCTCCTAATCACACTAAATATATTTTCCAGACAATCCTGATTAATTCTCCCCATCAATGTTCCCCATTCCTTAGTTCTTCACAGCCTCTCAAAGTAACTGCAGCATTCAAATTATGTATCCATTCCTTGATTCACTGAGCATGGAGTCTTTTACTCTGAGATTTAATAAAAAATACTGTTATATACAGGACGAACAAAATTGAGCCCAAATTCACAAATTTGGTGAAAAATTAGGAATAAAATTAATTTCATTGCTTTCTTCTGAAATGATGTACGCGAGTACAGCTCTTGACGAGAAATCCAACGGTGCAAACCAGACTTCAATCCGATGTTTAGTTTAGGAAATAAGCGTGAAACAAAATTGAGCCCAAACATTACAAATTTGGAAATAAATGTTCAAAAATGTTACAGAATTCCTGTCTCCTTGACAACTGACGTATTCAAGTGACGTGTCAAGAAAAATTCAAAATTATATAAACATATATATTCTTTTATAATACATTTTATTGGTGTTTTCTACGACATCATGCAACCTGGAAATTGACATGTAACGTATGTGATTTGTTTTTGTTACTTACTATATACTACTACTAATAATAGGGTCACTGTTGTACTGATTCACATTTTCGCTCTTTTCGTATCCACTGCATATTTTTGTTTTTGTTTTTTCATTACTACTTTAATACCTGTGCATCATAACATCCTATTCATACACATTTGTTTCCTATTTCTTTTCCTACTTTTCTCGACTTGTTCTTCCTTTTCCTCTTTCTTACATCTTTTCATTACCGGAGTACTATATTTAAAGCAGTAAATTCAATGCAATTACTATTCGTTTTTTGAAAAAAATCGCTGACATTTCTTCAATGTGGAGATAAGTTGGCTTCGTCTCAATGTTAGTCACGATGGAAAATATATTATTATTAAAGTTGATAATAAACAATTTGTGTTCGCTTCCACAGTGAATGTACTCTTTAACTATTCGTTTGTTTTCAATAAACACAAAGTATTCACTTGTTTACGATCAGCATAATAAAAATAACGTAACTGAATGTCAGAAATGCATTTATGATTTTCGTTTTACGGAATGTAATTTTAATTATTAATATTTTCAATAAATTTTATTTAATTTCATGTTTTGTATCAAAACGAAATCCGTAATAGGAGCTTATATTACGACAAGGGTCTGAAATATTCATTCAAAAATATGAAATAACTCCAGAAATATTTTTACTGATCAGTGTTTTGATTCTTTTCGATCACACTTTGTACTTAAAATCAATTTAAAATTAAGTTACTGATAGAATATACTACAGAGTATTTCAGCTAGGTTTCTGAATATGAACATTATTTAATTATTATTATTGATTATTATTAATGTATTATTTATTATTATTATTATTATTATTAATATTATTTACATTATTATTATTATTAATTATTATTATTATTATTATTATTATTCAATTTTAACATTAAGTAATGTACATTTTCTCAGGAAATGATGAGAACCTTTCAAGTATTGGTTTAGTCCATATTGTTTTCGTCTTTTAAATGAATTTTAGTTAATTACTATCTTTGTACAATTAACTAATTGGTACCTTAAACTCCAGGTCATTTTATAATCTTCTTTGACTGTTGTGATCGTTTCATGTTAGTGATTTTTCTTCACAATGAAGTTCGCTATCGATATACGGAATAATTTTCATTTTCGAGCCGTATTCTTCGTCCTCTTCCCTATTTGTTCTGCGCCCTCAACTTCGTCTTCGTTTTAGATCAAAGATTCGAAGTGATCAGTCACGAAGACAAGAGGAACATTAACAAGAAACGAAAGCGGAGACAAATGCGAACGCGCACTCAACAAGTACGAACACAAAGAACTAGAAGCGAAGAAAACAAGTGAGCAACGATGTATATGCGCACGGGTGCTTCCACAAATACCAAAACAAAGTTGAAGAAATACAAAGCCGAATAGTCAAGCAAACTTGAAGAAGGATCAAAAAATACAAAGAAGATTAAGAAATGGGAAAGCAAACGAGCACGTATTTCAAACATGCGAAAAACCATCATCTACATCAATGATCATTGATCAGTGTATTGTTAAAATTTTTACTGGAAATGAAAAGCAAAATTATATAATAGATTTATTTAAATTACAAGCATAATGTTGGGAATCATTACTTAAAAAGATCTTAATTGAAAGAAGATTATGTCCAAAAAAAGTGGCGGTGGCACAAAAAAAAAGAAAAAAAAAGAAGAGACAACACAAGCACATTACAACAACCTTTTTTAAGTAGGAAAACGGTGGTTCTTATTAGAATGGCACTTTCTTGAGCAAGTTTTCTTACCTCTTCAATCTGGGCTAGCTTTTCGCTTTTGCTCCATCTCAGCCATCATGGATTGTCTGTCAGTCTGTCCATCCGACTGTCCGTTCGTCTGTCCGTCCGTCAATCCAAAAACTATTTGTCCATCTGCCCATCTGCCTTTCGTCCGCCTGTCCCTCCGTCTCTTCGTTTGCCTACTCGTCTGTCTGCCGTTGGTCTGTCCGTCTGTCTGTCCGCCTGTCTACCTGGTATGCCTGTCAGTCCGTTCAGTTGTCCATCCGTCTAACCGGCCTTCTGTCAGTCCGTCTGCCCGTCAGTCAGTTTGTCAATCTCTCCCACCGTTAGTCGATCGGTTCGTTCGTGTGACCGTCCATCCGTCTCTCTACCCATCCGTTCGTTTATCCGTCCATCTGTCTTCCCGTCTGTCGGTTTGTCCGTCTGTACGTCATTCTGACTGTTCGTATGTCTGCCCGTTTGTCTCCCCGTCCGTCTGTCACTCCGCCTGTCCGTCCGTGTGTATGTCCGACTGTTTAGTCGTCATCCATCTGTCCGTCGGTCAGTCATTACGTCTGTCTGTCCGCCTGTCGTCCGTCTGATAATTAAGATTATTCATCAGCTTCTCCGTCCGTCTGACTGACCGCCTGTCACTCCGTCTGTAATTCTGTCTGCCCGTCCGTTGTCAGTCTGTACGACCGTCCATCGGTTCGTCCGCCAAGTCTGTCCAACCATCTGTCCGTCCGTCTCTTCGATCACCTTCCCGTCCGTCTATCCGTCCGTCAGTCCGTC